CACTTGCTTATCACCCTGAAAATCTTCTGTACAATTTTATAACAATGAGACAGCACTGTAATTATACAGTAAGTTTTTTACACCATAGTTCTTAGTAGTCTTTCAAGCTGTCACATAAGGACTCAGTGATGTTAGTTAAAAACCAAACTGACCCAACAATAAGAGACACCAACTAACTAGACAGTATCTACAAGCTTTACTCATCAGCTAAAAGAAATACAATGGAACAATTCTTGATTTAGCTTACTCATCATTTAATCCTTCAGGGTATACAAGAAGGAGCAGAGTGAACTCTTCTCCTGACCATGATTCTGACAGATAGTGAATGGCAGGATACCAAAAGAGTAGAATTCCTTTAGTCAGCACAATGCACTGTTCTCTTACCAGACAGACTCTAGTCACTGTTGGGTACATAGCCTATCTGTTACAAAGGTGAATTCTGTATTTGATTTTAAAACAAGATGCCATATTGAGGTTTAAAAGTATTTAACTACTAAATCAGAAATATTTTCTGAGGAAAAGAATAGGACACCTCCAAAGACCTGTGCAAAGAAGCGATGTGACAACTTCAGGTTTTCTAAGGTTTGGCATTAAATATGGAAAGGAAGATAATGCATGGCAAATGTATGCTGTATTATCAAAATCCTTATATATAATATGAGTGACTTAGAAAAAGTAAGATTAAGCCTTGAAAAGTAGAAGTAACTTAAAGTTTAATAAGAGAAGAGCCCTTTGTGCCGATGAAGCCCTTGCTTTATCCATCCATATAAGCTAGTTACCGGAAGAAGGGAAAGGGAACCAAGGGTACCAAGTGGGAAGAACAGCACAGGTTCCGTGCCAGGAGGTGGGGTTGGTCCACTGGATGAACAGAGATGTCCGTCATGGACAGTTAGGCAACTGCCTGAACATGTGTGTAGAGTGGAGGAGGGCAAGTCACCCATTAGCTAAATCAGTTTGGCCCATTACATCATTTTCACTCAGCTGGCTGTCATAAAGATCAAATAAATCTTTTAATTCAGTGGTTTTGGAGTATTTGCATACTGTTTCAAAACATGAACAGATTAAGGGAAAATAAAAAAAATATTTTCTTTGCGACAGGGTCTCACTGTGCAGTTCAGGCTGGCCTAGGGCTCACTTTGTAGCCCAAGTGGGTCTCGAACTTGCAACCAGGCTCCTGCCTCAGCCTCCCAAGTGCTGGGATTATAGGCATGCACCACCATGCCAGGTGGAAATAAATTATTTTTATGAAGCAAGCATGAAATTGCTATTAAAATTTAACAGCAGGGATCAGGGATTTAGTTCAGTGCTGTAAGTGCCTGCCCCGCAAGCACGAGGTCATGAGTTCAATCCCTGGTACCAAAAAAAAAAAAAAAAAAAAAAAAAAAAAAAAAATTAACAGCAATGGTACAAAAGAAGAAATTAATAGACAAATCTCCTTTGTGGATATAGATGTAAACCTTAGACATAAATCAAAAAACACTCAAAAGGAAATAGCATTAAAATATAAATCTACCACATAAAAATAGTTATGTTCTTGACAAAGCAATTCCCTTCTAGAATCTGTCATACATTTAAATTGTGTATTGTAAAATAGTGCATATGCATGGTTATTCATTATAGCATATTTTTCAGGTTAGAATTTTTACAAAAAAATTTAAATTTTCTTGAGATGGCCTAAATTTTCATTTATATAGAAATGATTAAGAATATTTTATCTGCATACCATAAGTATTATACTACATAGCTATGAAAATGAGAAAATCTTTACATCTATTATGTAATAAGATTAAAAATAAGAAATAAAATGTTGGGCCAGGAATATAACTCAATGGCACAAATGCCTGCCTGGCAAGTGCAAGGTCCAGAGTTTGATTCCTGGTACTAAAGAGAGAGAGAAAGAGAGAGACAGAGAAAGCGAGCTATTGAGTGAGATATAACCTAATAATAGGGTCTAAATGTCCAAAGACATGTACAGGTTAAAAAATGATAGGTCCATACTGTAAAATACTGCAGATGTACATGTAATAATCTTAGAGATATATTAAATGAAGACAGTATAACTGTTCAAAAAAATAAGCATGGTAAAAACTACTTAAGCACATTTTTATATACATGAAATTCTTTGGAAATGAGAAAATGATAACATTTATTGATTCTTCCCAGAAAAACTGAGTGTTTTGAGGACCAGGGTGGAGGTGAGACTTTTTACTACATAGCTTTGAACTTCGCCAGCTACCTTTTCCTCACTAGGACGAATACCTGACATCCACAACATAAAGGAGAGATTTGTCCTGGCTCATGTTTTCAGTTGATGGTTGCCAGTTCCAAGACAGAAATGGCATGGTGGGGGGTTGAGGGAGAGGAAGAGTGTTCACATCGGTGGTCATCAAGCAGAGCAGAGAAAGGACGAGCCAGGCAGAGATCTGTGGCCTTCCACATCACACCCCCTGTGACTCACCTCTTCCAACCAGTAGTCTAACACAGTCAGTCACAGCACCCTCCCTGTGTTCCAATCCAAAAATCCACTTCCAAAAATCCTGTCTCTGAGTGCATGAGAGTTTAGAGGGACATCCTAGAACTAAACCATTAACAGGTGGCTAAGGTAAACTTTAAATTAAAAATAAGTAACACATTTATTGATAAATTAAACAATAATCTATTGAAATTGAAACAATCAAGCGAGAGAGAGGTTAAACATTGGACATGATATCTGGCATTCAATAAATAACAAATGTTTGCCATTACTGTGTTTTGCTGTTGTTTTGTGGTACTTGGGATTATACTGGAGCCTTTAAACTAAGCTACATCCCCAACTCTATTTATTTTATTTTGACACAGTATCTCACTAGCTTGCTGGAATTATAGACCTGGGCCATCATGTCGGGCCCCATTAACGTTCATGTTGATTGAATATCCCAGGATGAACATGAAAGTATAATTGAACTCTATGATAAGAGGCAGCAAATAAACACCATGAGATACTGAATATGAACTGCTGTCTGTGATTAATGGGACATGGGGTGATGTAAGGGAAAGATAGCTGACTATGACCACAGGTTAGATTTGCATTCCAGGGTAAATAATGTAGTAATATGCTTTATTCTGGATAAATGATATACCGCCATCAGTCTTAAGTCCTAGGCTGGTGATTGCTGTTGTTATTATTGGGGTCATTATAAATTGGGGATAATGATACTTTATCCTAAGACGTGACAACTATGGCTACAATTATAGCTCAGTGGTGGGGCTCTCACCTAGCATAAATGAGACACAGAGTTTAGCACCACAAAACAGGAGGAGTGCTCTGTGTGTGTGTGTATCTATGTGTACGTGTCTGTGTGTCTGTGTGTCTGCGTGTGTGATGTGGTACTAGATAAGCTCTCTGTCATTCAGCTACAATTTCAGCCTCAAAATTTTAAACATAAGGAAACTATACAATGTTTTAAAATAGTGAAAATAAATGTATGTAGGTTTTACTGGAGAGAAAAATTCTGTATTTTTGTATCTTTCACAAATAAAATCAGATACACTAAACCAGACAGAAAGCAGGAAACCATATGCTAATTGTTATCCAAAGATTCAGCTCTTCAGGTTCAGGGTTTTTTCTGAAGCTACAGAGGTCATTTGATGGACAGCAGGCATTGCCAGTTCAGGAGTGCAGGAGAGACAGAGCAACGCAGCGCGAGTATCAAGAACGGAAATTGACAGATAAATACCCGAAGTGTCTATCTTTGAAGAGATAATGCTACATGGCCCCTGCAATAACTGAACAACCAATATGTCACACATGGTTGGCTTTTCATCCTTTTTTGTCTTACTTCCCAATTTTTACTCTGGCCTCTTGTATCTACTCTCCTAAATATCTGCTACACTGAGGTCCTTCCCTTGGGCTTGATTTTGTGGAGAGCTGGAATGGAGAGTGGACCAATAAAGACAGACTATAATCAGTACTATTCCCTTTCCTCTAACTCTCAGTAATAAAGCTCTGCCTCGCCTTCCCTCTGACTTCCCCCAAGTCCCTTTTCTCCTTTCCCTTCCCCTCCTCCTCCTCTTCTTTTCTCCTTCGTAGCTAGTATTTAGTGTACAATTCAAGCAGGTCACATTATAGGATACTGAAATAGATAGACATTTGATACAGAGATTTCTATATTTAACTATAAACATCTGAATGGAATGTGAAAAGCCTCACTTTTAATCTCTGAAAACTTTACAAAAGGGGAAATCACAAATAGGCCGAGGTACCAAAGATGCCACTATATTATCACTGACAGATAATTCTCTTTTATTCCATGAATGAACACTATGCTTGCCCACAGGACAATATTATTTTTTGTTCTGGTTTAGAAATATAAAATCAAAGGTCCTCCTCAAATATCATCCTTCCCTCGTAGCCTGAAGCCTAGGATGTAACAATGCAACCATATTTAGTATACAGAACAAAGAATGAATTTATTCACTGCTGTCTGACATAATACCATTTCATCCTCAAAATTATCTTTAGAAGGAACCAATACAACCAAGTACATACACTGAAGAGAACAAGAAAAGTATGGAGTCCTCAACTATATCATGTAAGGATTAAAGGAAATGGAGAATACATCCTAGAAAATGTAGTCTCAAAAGAACTGTATCTTTTCTACATAAGCAGTACCAGTAGAATCAGGGCAAAAAAAAACACAAAATATAAGGAGAATAACCTGTATAACAGCAGAAGCAAGAACCTCTAAGAATCAGAACTTCCCATATGAAATAAGGTGCCAAGGGAAATATAGGCATATAAGTAAGAATGCTGTGGGGATAAAAACAATGTGCAAGCATCACTAGAAGAACAGGAACTCATAAAATCACAGATGGGCATTAGACGGGAACAGAGTCAATAGGTTTTACATTCTCTTTCAACTTGTAGTGTGCATGATCTGAAATCAATTCATTAAATCATCAGATGATGAAAATATGTTGTTACTAAATTATTATTATTATTATTGTTCATTCTTACTTACCTTCACAACACGCAGAATACCTTCATTAGTTACGTGGTCTGTAATAATTTCGAAGTATCCATTTTCATTTCCCTTTAAGATGGTAAAATTGGCCCTCCAATTGGCAGTGTTGATTAAATCCTTATCTTCTATAGGAATTCGTAAGATTTGCACATTATATGCATTTTCCTCCACTGACGTTTCATACTTAATGAAAAGAAACTCATTAATAATTGCCTTTACAAAGAAAGCTTTTCTAAATCCAGTAAAATGTTTCTTTCACTCCAAAAGTACTTTGTCTTATAGTTTTCACGTAAATTATTTTAAAATCATGAATCACAAATAGTGTTGCGTCCTTTTTTTACTTTTTATTTTGAGGCAAAGTCACACTAAGTTGTCTACAGTGCGCTTGAACTGTGTGATCTTTCTGCCTCTGTCCTCCAGAGTGTTGAAATTATAGGCATGCACAAACATGCCTGGCTCATTAATTGTTATCTTTTAAATGAAACAACTTGCCCACGAGTGAAGACTCTATTGGTACTGACCTTTAAAGAGACACAGACAACAAAAACACTACTATGAACAAATGAAAAAGTTTCAACCAGACCTGGTGGAGCATATCTATGATCCTCGCACTCTGGGAGACCGAGGCAGGAGGACTGCAAGTTCGAGCTCAGCCTGGACAACTTAGCCAGTTAACAAAAGCTTGTCTCAAAATTAAAGGGAGGAAAAGGCTGAGGCAAGGCTCTGGATTCAATCTCAGCTACTCCAGAAAGGCAGCAAGATTTGAATATGATATAAACAGAGATTTTAAACTGCAATAAACATTTCATAAATCCAGATTAATAAATAAAAATAGACAAGGATAGATTCTGAGATTGTATACTTACAGAATTTTGTCTAAATGTGGGTGCATTGTCATTTGAATCTTTTACTGTTATAATACAAGTTGATGTCCCCATCAAGCCAAAAAATTGACCATCCATGTCTTGGACTTTCATTATCAATGTATATTTATCTACAACCTGAAGGCACAGTAAATGCTTAATTAATATTAGACACTTGCTTAGATTCATAAATGAAACCCCAGTTTCACACTCTTCTATTTGTGTGTACACATGCTTTTGTTTGATTTCCCAATTTGCATATACTTGATTTGCATATATTTGATTTTAGAAAGAATATTCTTAAAGAAATTGAGAATAATTTGGAGTGAGCTGAAACAACCATTTACAGAGATCCTACGATAGTCTAAGGCAGGTGGCTCATGTCTGAGGTAGTAGCGAAGAGGATAAAGAGAAAAGATGACAGAAAAATTACTTGGGAGTGGGAATACAGCAGGACTTAATAGATACCATGTTCACGTTAAGAGACAAAGAAGAGCTGACTGTGACCCTCAGTGGCCCTAGGCATATAGGTAGATAGGGATAACGCCAACCAACCTAGGAAATGCAAAATTAGAGGATTTTCTGAAGGCAAAAACACTACATAGGTTGCCAAGGAGGGGTGAAAACAAGGGTTTTGTTTTTCATATGTTGAATTTTAAGCTATCCAGAAAGAGACTTAGAGGTATCAAGCATACGGAAAGAAAGAGCAAATATACTGAGCAGAGAGATCATGGCCCAACTGGGAGTCCTCAGCATGTACATGGCAACTGAAATTATGGCAAGAATCAGACTTCGCAGGGAGGGTGATAAAAGCTGAGAACAGATGGAAAAACAGCATTTCAAGCATAGGAGGAAAAAAGATTAACAGTGTATTTTCAAAAGATCGATCAGAGAAACAGAGGAGAACCAGAAAGAAGAGGTAAAGGCCAATAATAGGCAAGGGCGTGATTTAGCAAGAGGAAGTCATGGTGCAGTGGTGGAGTAAAATGAAGTCCTTCGTTTGTGATAACAATCGCCATTGTTGCCTTTTTTTTAACTGTACTATTCTTTTGGCAGTTTTGTTGTTGTTCGTTTTTCCATGTGTTGTTGCCCCATCCCATCTCTCAATCTATGTTTTATTTGGTCTCCCTTTCACATTGTAAATCAACATTCCCAGCCATGCCCATGGCCCTCAAGACTGACACCATGTGTTTTTCTTCACCTAAATTGACTACTATTTCTTCTCTGTGTTCATTCTTTACTTTGTGCTGTTCTCCACCACACCTTCCATGATTGTCCCATTAGGTATTTTTTTTCCACCACGCAAAGAGACCTGGCTTTGGCCTCAAAAATGTACCATGCAAGTCTTATAATCCTAAATGACTTAGTTTTAATCTGTTACAAATGGGGTAAATAATTGTTTTTACTAGAATCTATATCTTTGGTGCATTCTCCAAAGACATGAAGACATTCAAACTTTCCCATTTGCTATTTTTAGTACGTGTTTTATTAGGAAAATACTGTAGTCTTATAAAAATTTAAAATTGATAAATGAAAGCCCATACTACTTCTGATCCTTTTTTGCAGATTCTTCCATCTTTCTTTTTTCCTTTGCCATCAAATTCCATTAATCTCTTTTTTTATACCTTTCCAGTCATGCTAACCTTTCTATTTATATTATTCTTATTGGGGGAGAGCAATGCAGTGCTCCAGTGAAGCTATTCTGTGTGTATGAAATTGATTCATCTGTCTCCATTAATGTAGATCTACGAGTTAAATATGGACTGGCAAAATGGGCAGGGAAACTGACAAAATATTAGAAGATTCTGTAGAATAATTTCATTTGAGTGAATCAATTAGTCTTTCTGACTATTACATTTCTCCTCTTTAGATTGGGCCCAGCACATATAGGGTGAAAGAAGAAAATTATAAAATCCAAATAAAATTATGCATAAAGAACACAAGTTACTAGACACACAACAATATGCTATTACTATCTTCCAAATAGTATTACAATTTTTAATAATTCATCAATTGCAAGGCAACTAATCATTTTCTGATAAAAACTACATATATCTATAACTAGGTAAAGATCGGGTATGATATATACTTGCCAAACGAGCAAAATTTATTGTTCTACATGAGAATCGAAGTCTTTTCTGAGCTGGAACCAATCACACAAGGAATGAAATAAAATAATGTTCAACAGCAATAATAATAATTTTCATAAGAAATATTTTTTCACCCTTTCTAGGCACTGATTGAGCTGTCTTTATGGGATACAGAAATAGAGATAATGTAAAAAAATAAAGAGGAAAAATGCCAAGAATTCTTATTGTTTTATGTCTTATGTAAAAATAAGAAGTTTTAAATCTATAAGATACCAAATTTTAGTACATTGGGCCATGAAGACTGAGCCCTCGGGTGAGATTTTACTAAGCAGAAGTTACCTCTCTGTCCAGGTAATGAGAGACCGTTGTGATTACACCCGTGTTGGGATGCACAGAGAAAAGCCCAGGTGCCTTTGGTGTCTGCTCCACAATGCTGTACTTCAAGCGTGTGTGCATCGTGTCTGGTTCATCTCTGTCTGTGGCACAAACCACTCCCACTGTAGTTCCTATGCATTAAGAAAAAGAACTTTTAATTGCCAGAATTGCAAAGTATATTTTTTTTACTTTTTTTTTATTTTGAAAGTAGTAAAATACAACAGAGCAAGACAAAATAAAGCCAACTGAGACCGTGTAGTGAAATTGGTACAGAACTTCGCAGCAGGTTAATGGGATAACGGTAATAGATATCAGAGTATGTTTCGTTATCTTTACAATAGTTGTTCTTTCAATCATGTATATCAAAATAAAATGAAATACAGAACATTATAGAACTTACCAAAACAGAATATTGAATAGAGCAGTACCATTAATCAGAATAAAGCAAAACAGTAATAAAAATATTTGCCCTCAAAGAGATGATAGAGAAGAAAATCCCCCTTATTTGCTATGGTCAACCTCCCAAGAGATGTTGATCTATCTATACTCTGCAAATTTCAGCAATGATGGTAGAAAAATTGTATTTCTTGCCATAGAGATTACAACTTTAGATAGGTTTGCTGAAGATGCCCTCCAATGTATAATACAAAACATTTTGATGCTGAGAATCAAGATATACTTGTATTTTGCTCACAGTTAAAATGTTTAATAGTAAATCACTAAAAACAATTAGCAACATTTGAGGATAATGTCAATTACTTTCTCATACACTGCAATAATATATCTAGTGTAAGGGATAAAAAATTCACCATTCTTTTTAAGTTGGATTTTCAATTAATAGCTCAGTCAAGACTGATTTGGAATATAATTGTTAGATGACCAGGTAGACCTTGAGTAGCCCAGTCTTTACTTCTCCTTTCCATGATCTTTTACTCTTCCTTTAGTTTCTTTTTACTTTTGCTAAGTTCTCATTTGAGCTATTGGCCTTCAGCAGCTTAGCATCACAGCCTTACCTCATCTGAACCTATGGATGTGATGTGCTTCAGTCTCTGGGGTTAACGGGGCACTGATGAGTTTGACCTTGATTCCTTCCTGATGATACCAAAGAAAACAGAACCCTCAAGGAAAAACTCTAGGACCAATCACCCCTCTTTGAAAAAGGAAAAATGTAACAGAGTCATAGAATTCTGAATCTAAAAAGGGTATATAGGTCACTGTAATTAACAGTGTAATTACACTGTAACACTTTTACAGATAAAAGATCTCAGTGACTTGTGTAACTTCTCATGGTTAAGCAATAAGAGAGCCTGCATAAAAAGCAGGTTTTCTAAACTCCAAACCAGTCATTTCTCTATTTGATACTTGTAAAGAGGTTAATATTGGTGCCATCAAGTTGTCAAAGTGAAATGTAAAAAGGAGAAGCAGATATAAAAATGCAGTGAAGATCTAAGTAACTCCTAAAAACCTTAACAGGAAAGTTAGCAAAGTCACCGTTTATGACCGAGTCTCTCCATTGAATTGTGGATACTTAATCTGCATGTTACAAGTCTCAGAAGACATTACCAATGCCACTCTTCAGGCTCAAGTAAACTGGAATAGTATGACTTTCCACACAGGAGAAGTGTTGAGGAGTTTCATGTGTTTCTCTAAAGTTATTCTAGGATTACTAGAATTCTAAATCACAGTGAAGTAGTAGTTTTATAAAAAGAGACAACATGCAAAAGAGGTTAAAGAACTGTATCCTCAATGAGCATCATCGAACACCTCTAAGTAACTCTTCATTGAAATACCTATCTTGCTTTGCAGTTTTACTGTTCATTTGACCCTGCAGGCTATCACTTGCAGGTGCGAAACATGATAAATCCATATAATGAGAAAATGAAATAAACCACACAATGTAAGGTCACCACAGTTAATTAGTATCATATTGACAATGCCAAAAAATCCTGCAATACCCCAGACAGTATATGTTGATAAGAATTGATGGGAATAAATATTTTCTAACATATGGCCTTAGCAGAACTTGGCCATGAGAATGAAAATATCTGCCTCAAAAAACATATACGAATGTATTTAGTAGTACTCTTACCAAGTCTACTACTTTCTGGAACTTCAAAATTATAAATTGCTTCTGTGAAAATAGGATGGTTGTCATTTTCATCCTCTACTTTGATGGGCAGTGGAAGAGGTAAATCTGCTGAATACCCATCAGCAGTAGACGCATAGGCAATCAACTGCAAAGCAGGCAAAAGCAACCTCAGTTAATATCCAATCACAGCAAAAGGAAGACAAGATGCATTGCTATTTCCCCAGTGCTGATTAATCAAAGGCAGTATAAGGTCAAATGGAATGTATTTCTATTAAACAAAGCTGAGCATTCGCTAACCAAAAGTAGAACACAACACAGGGAACATCAGTACCATTTACTTATCCTGAATCTCTTCCCTGTTCTAGAAACAGAATCTTTCTCCAATAGAGAATCATTCCCCCAAACCACAAAGAAAGTACATGGTACCACAGAATTTACTTTATTATACTGAAAATTATCAGAGTTATTCCCTATTGACTATAAACTCAAGTATAGCAGAATGCTGGCTTACTAGCCTCTTTTGGGGCTTAGTGACCCACTTTTACTTCCTTATAAGAAAATTGTACATGTTGAAGACTAAAAATAAGCAGAGCTGTAGAGAAAGAGGATACTGGCAATGAAGTATGAACATACCCTGGAACAGTAATGAGTAGACACAGAGAAAGTATCTCATAAGCAAAACCAGTTTCTTAAAAATGTTCTGGAGTTTACATTTGACCTGAAATCTCTTTACTTAGTTTTAGGTTCACCTAACACACGTTGAGTTATGGAACTGAGCAAGCATTCAAAATTATCACAAGAGCAGTTTCTTCTGATTTTAAGATATCCTCTAAGAACAGAGTGCAAGAAGTCAGAAAACAGATGAAATGATTGTAGGAAAGTTTAGTAATATAAAGTCATTTTTATCAACGAAACTCTTACATCAAAAACATCATATTCCTCACGATCCACTGGCCGGGTACAAAACAGATTTCCAGTGTCTCTGTCTATGAAAAACAAATTTAAAGGTTCTTGGTCAACACCACGTCCACTTATTGAGTAGAAGACGGTATAGTTCTGGGCTGCATCAGACTGAACCTAGAAAGAAAAACATACATGTAACAATATTAAAATTCAATTAAATAAAAATGCTGCATTTTTTTAGATCAGTGTTTTTTATTTTAAAAAGGAAGATTTCAACAGACTAAAACAGCAAAACCCATTGTTAGGCAAACAGACAAATTAGAGTGTAATTCTAGGACTAACAAAAAAGGACAGGCTATGAAAAAGGTCAGGGAAGGCTCTTCCTGGGAAAGAAGAAACAAGAAGTGTAAGGAAACTTTCTAGAGAAGCAGGAAAAAGAAGGGAATCAGGTGAGAGTAGCGCTTGGAATCTTCCAGGAGCCACAGCGGACCACTATTAGAGCAGAAAGAGCCAAAAAGAAAGGAAGTGATGGAGGAGTAATGAGACCATATGGGCCATGTCAGATATGTGATTCCAGGGACATGTTTTCCTGGAAAATAACAGAGATACAAAACCACTAGAGAACTTAGACAAGGGTAACATCGTGTGATGTTTCCATTTAAAAGTATTTAGTTGAGTACACACAAACAAATATTGTATGATCTGTATGTGTGTATATATATACACACATATACAAACACATATACATGATCTGTGTATATGTATTCACCATGTAATGGTTATCATAATGAAGTTAACACAACAGTCATCATACACTGGGTTTCAAGAAGTTGTTCACTTTATAACTGCAAGTTTGTATCATTTGGTTAACATCTCCTCCTTCCTCCATCTCTTAAGGACTGGTAATAATCATTTTATTGTTTCTATGGGTAACTTCTTTTAGATTCCACATATAAGTGATATTACACAGTATTTATTTCACTTATGGTAAAGGTCTCCAGATTTATCCATGTTGTTGAAAATGACAAGAATTCAAGAATTCTGTTTTAGTAGTGTATATATATGTATGAGTATATGTGTGTGTGACTGAGAAGAAAACAAGAATAAGAGGAGAGGAGACTGATTTTAAGCATTTATCAGTGGACACCTCAGTAGTTTCCATATCTTAACTATTATGAACAGTATCGCAATAAAGTAGGTGTACATATGTCTTTGTGACTAATTTAATTTCCTTTGAATATGCAGACATTCCTCGTTTAAGTACCTAACGATTTAAGGACTGTTCCGATCTAAGACCAAGGTGTGCTATTGGAACATAGGGCCCACTTAGGACTTATAATACAGGAATTTGAACAGTAGTAGCGTGGCCTTATGGTGGCTTCTACAGCATGGTACAGTACATTTTGCCGATTATACCATATTTTTGTTTTGTGTCCTATTACACATTACAGCACTACATGTAAGAGTCATCCAAATAAAATCAGAGTCATCAAGCTGGAAATTTCCTTTGACCATTTCCTTCTTCTGAATATTATAATGTACATAAAATTCCTCATTTAGTGACCAGTTCAATTAATAACCTAGTTACAGGACTGTAACTTGGACATTAATTGAAGAATGTATCTATATCTAGAAGTGGAACTGCTGGGTCATATGGTAGTTCTATCTTTAATTTTATTTTAAGAATGCTATACTGTTTCCGATAGTGGTTACTCCCACCAACAGTACACAAGGGCTCCCTTTGCTTTGCAGCTTTGCCAGCATTTATGTCTTGTTCGCTGTCTTTTGTTTTGTTTTGACAGTAGCCTTCCTAACATGTATGAAGTGATATATCACGTTGTGGTTTTCGCTTGTGATGAGTAATGATGTTATACATCTTTTCACGTGCCTGTTGGCCATCTGCATGTTTTCTTTGGGAAAATGTCTACTATTAAATTCCCTTTCCCATTCATTCATCTGATTATTTATTGCTACTGAGTTAGGCAAGTTCTTTGTTATTTTGAATATTAACTCCTTACCAGATGTATGGTTTACAATTTTATTTTCATTTTGTAGGCTGATTTTTAAAAGATACTGTATTTTGCATATATTTCAGTGGTATTACTTATTTATATTTTTAGAAAGCAATACTTTTATATTTTAAAAAGACAATTTTTCCATTTACTCTTAATAAAAATTTCCCTTGGCGTAGGGTACAGAGCAGGGAGACTATTTAGAAAGTGACTGTAAACATTGAGAGGAGAAATGGAAACTCATTAGTCTCACCTAATAGCAGGCAAGAAGTGAGTGATGCTGGCTCTGAATATAATTTAAAGATTCAGCCAAAAAGCTATGTTAATGGTTGGATGTGCAGTGAAAAATACAAGTCAAAGACAATGCTGTTGGATGTTACCAGCATAAGTTCAGATCTATTCTGTGCATCTTCTTTGGTATTAGAATGTGTAGCTGTTTGCAAAGATGCCCCCAAAAAGCATTTTTCAGTGTCTCTTGCAATTAGGCATGATTTCATTAAAAATCCAGAAGGTGGAGAGTACACAAACATGATAAAATAAATAGTATAAATTAAGATAAATAGCTGAACAAAATCCAGGCTGTGCTCTAGAAAGCAAAAATACATTCTCCTCTCTGAGCACTGCGGTAAGTCACAATGGCAGTGGCCAGCTAATAAATAAAAAGCTGGACCCCTAGTGTTTTTGCATATTAAAACTCATTACAGGACCGCACTTTCACAGAAGAGTAATTGTGAGAATAAATGCACATGGCAAGTAGGGCTCTACACTATGTCATGTCCTACTATGGCCTTCAGCCTAGACGCTAGAATGATTCAAACAAAATCAAACCCAAAGTGCAAAATGTTCCAGAATCTTCTTCCCGGATTTTTTTTTTTATTAGTATATGTTTGCAACACATAGTGAATATATACATCGTGGGGAGCTGGTACCTATACGTGTCACATCTCAATCCTTTTTACTTCACTCCCGCCTACTTCCCCTTTCACACCATCCCTAGATTCCTTCCCATCTCTAAAAGGTCTTTTTTCCAATTTCCTATTATATATCCAGGATCTCTTGAAACCAGAGTTCAGGATACACATACAGACAGTCAAATGTGTTTGCACAAGATTTGGAATTCATAAATGAGGCAAATGTCAGTTTTTCTGGCAACTGTTTTGCTAGCATTTATTCCTTTTCTTTTCTCTTGGGTTGGGTCCCATTGGGTAAGATAGGGTTGGGCTGGGTTGGGCTGGGTTGGGCTGGGTTGAGCTGGGTTGGGCTGGGTTGGGCTGGGTTGGGTTGGGTTGGGTTGAGTTGGGTTGGGTTTGGGTAGCAGCAAAAGTTTCAAGCATTATTCACCAACTTTGTAGGTGATGAGATACAGAGACTGGGTTAGTGTTTTTGCTGACATGGGTTGGAACAACTGAGAGGCTGATATAAAGTTGCATGAGGAGGTGCAGCCTCTTACTGTGGTGCTTTCCTGTCTATAGCAGTGGCACTCTGGGTGGCATCAAGGTTTACTGTGGAGCACACACTACATACCTTGATTGTGAGTTCTGTGGTGCAGCTAGCTTGCAATTTGTTCCTAAAAAGTTCAAACTAAAATCTGTTTCTTCAGCCCACTCAACAATTCTGTAAACTATTTGATATGCTACATATAATAAATCCATATCTATTAGCTACACAAAGAGAACTATTCTCTGCACTAACAAAACCTTAGGAAACATTCAAATATGCAAATAGCTGGAAGCAATGAAGAGCTGCTGAAATGGAAGGTTATTTTTTTAGAAGAAAAACACAGCATTTCATTTGTTTGCAATGTCTGTTAAACTTTCATGTGGAAACACCATTTAAGTTTAGGCTGGAATTGCGATGTCTCAAATATCCAGTGGGAAAATGTGCTTAGACCAATCAGATACAATAAGATTGGTGAACAATACATATAAATGAGCAAGAAACAAGATTCAAGGACTGAGCTCTAGACCTCTCCAAAGTTTAGAGACTGAGAAGGAAAGAGAAAAAAAAAAGAAAGAAAGAAAAGAACAAAGTTCTAGTGCATAGTTTCCTAGAAACCAAGCAAGGAAGGTATTCAAGGAAGAGGGAAAAGTCAAGTACGTCAAATGTGCATATGAATCCTGAGAGGCAGTAACTGATTTAGCAACTGTAATAGCGAAACTTATGTGTGATCAGTACAAATTTGATAATCAGAAATCATTTCTTAATGTATCTCTTTAGTGTTTAAGGTCAATATTTATAAAGAAATAACAAGGACCTAATAGCCCTGCACAGAATACTAAACAAGCACCACAAGGATTTCATCATCATTATTATACAGTATCCACCACAATAAAAATTTAAGAGGAAAAAAGCAAACACAAGGCTGGCTCTCTCATAACACTCCTCCCTAAATACTGTCACCATCTGCCCATTCCCATTTTCTTCACTAAGCTAATGTGAGAGCAAGGGTTGGCACTAAGTTTATTTCCATCTTTAGTACTTATTGCAGTGTCTACCACAGAATACAGCAGTGCTCAACAACTGTGTGCAAAATGAAAGAGTAATAAATAATAATCATTCAGTGGCGGAAAGTCTAGTCTCATATCAGTATCTTAGTAAGTTTCCTTGTCTCACTTTAGTCTTCTACTGCCCGCCAATGAGAAAGAATGTAAACCTACTTGCTGAAGAAACAGAGGGAAGGGGCCCAAGGAATTCTCTTGCATTGAACAAGGAATAGGTGCCCATCTCCTCTTGGATCTCCTGAGAACAGTTTCGTTAGTGTGTCTTTTCTTCAATATCTAGATTGAGAGAAAGAAAAAAACAAATAAAAGCATCACGGTGTACTTAGCTCTGAAACAGTGGGCACTTACACACCGAACATCTCCCCAGCAGCTTGGTCTCAAGAACTCCTATGCTGAAACAAAAACTGGTGATGAAGTCTTCTGAGATTGGAGAGGTAAGAAAGGATTTTAAACATCTCATAAACTAGGGGATTTTCTTCTATATACCCTCCAACGCTGATCATATTTTTAGGTTAGGAAAATCACCACTCTGCTCTTAGCTCTTCTTGCTCTCTTCTGATAGAGATAGAGAATACATTCTCTCTGAAACAGTCTCTACAAGGCATCTACCTCTTCTTTATGTTAAAGCCTCCCACTCTCAGGTGAACCAAGGAAAAAAAATGTACGTCCTTCATGGCCTTGGTTACCTGCGCTGTGCAATATGGCAGCCACCGGCCACCACTAACCATATGATTTTTTATGTCAACTCTAATTAAATGAAACAGAGAGTTCTACCTTTCAGTTGTACCAGCTACAAGCCAAGTATTCAGGACCCATTAGCACTGGACCACCAAATGTTCTGTAACACTGCAGGTTACAGAACATTTCTGTCTCTATAATACGTTCTGTCAGACATTTTTAGTGATGGCCATTTTGTTTCACAATGTAACAAGGAAGAAATTTGATTTGGTGACAACTATTAAATACTTAATAAAAATGCTAAGCAGTCATTTTAAATTAAGTTTATCGTCCGTACAGTTAGTGCAGGTTAGGCATAATCCAATCTAAACCATGTGACTGCTTTCACAATGGCATTCCACATGATCAACAGTTTACCCTAATGGAAAAATCCAGAACATTGAGGAACAGCTACCACATGGCTCTGGCACACAAAAATCATTCCCTAAAATTCAGAGATGGAAGAAACCTTTATAAGGAAGTATCATTTGCACTTATAAAAGTAAAACCAAAACAAGTGTTACATTAGAGTTTCAAAAGAGAGGGAAGGAAGAAAGAGAGAGAGAAGAGAAGAGGAAGAGAGGAGGGGAAAGAAAGGGAGGGGAGGGGAGGGAAGAGGAAGGAAGGGAAAAGAAGGAAAATGCTCATTGGCTAGAATCCTTTGGTCTTCTTTGCAATTTTTAAGAAGAGTATTTAATGAAAAAAATGCCTAAAAATACTCAATATATTCTGAATACCTTCTTCCGGTGTTCCAGGACCACAGTTAGCTCTTTCTGCGTCTCTGTTTGTGTATCTGAAAGCCATATGGTGAACGCTCTTTTCTCACTAGGCAGCTCCACAGCCCTGGCTGTGTACACGGACCCGTCGTGTAGAACTCTGAAGTCAGGGTCACGCGACCGGATGAGGTTTGCAGACCTGAAGCACTCTTTCCAATTCACTGCAAGTGAAAATTTCCCAGTTGTTAGGCAGAAACATGTACAGAAAGGGGAAAAAAAAGCCCCAATGATTTAAACAAACTTCTTCAAAATGGTAATGTAAAATAATATGAACTAATAACTTGACGTTTACCAAATATCTTATTAAGTTCTTTCACAATATTTTAAGAGATTTCTTTTCAGTTAAATGATAATTATTGATTGCATATTTCTATGAAAGAGGTGTTTTACAACTTAATATGCTTCTAGTAGGCTTATGAATGGGATCTTCCCAGTAGATTGGTGTAGGCATCACAATCCTGACAGTCAAATACACACTCCCCACAGCTGAATAAACACACGGAGTTTTCCTTAACAATACTCTCTGGGTTTGTCTTCAGCCAGAAGTTATACACAGGGACCCAAAAAACAATGAAGGGAATGAATTAGGCAAGCAGTGAAGTATGAAAAACTGATCTGTGAATTCTTCCCACTGGTACTTTTCTGTACACTTTCTCCCTCTGCATTACTGGGCTTTCAGGACCTCCAGTGAAACTCTACATGAGCCTTCCTTCTTTGAGAAATTTGCCCTCTAGTGAAAAATATTTTTTTAAGTATCAAAACACGGCATTTTCTAGCAAGGCAAAGCGTGTCTGACTCTCATAAGAGCAACCAAAAATGCAAACACTGTGACCACACAGGAGCCGCCAACAAACTCATAGCCAAGCCGCCTTTTGTAGGGAAGCTCAGAAGAAGGCTGAGAGCTCAGAACATACAGAGGAAACTATGAGTCCATGCAGCAAGGCCAGAATGCAGGCTGACCAGCTGCATCTCCCCGGGAGCAGTGGCTAGCATTCCTTCTGCCCTGGCAAAGAGGGCAGAAGCCCCAGCAACCCAGGGCAAGCTGGGGGCACTAGAGAATCCAGCCCCAAGGCAGGGAAGGAAAACTTTTAAGTACTCTAAAGTTTACAAATATTTTTTAAAATAACGGCTTTAGGAAAGCAGGCTGGATCCCCAGGTCGAGCTATTGCTGGGATCTATACACTTGCCCAGAGTCCCCTTCTGACCTGTCTCTGTATTGGAAAGAGATTATTCCAGGAAGTTTTCATTTCTCACCATCTTTCCACAGCCAACAGTTGCTTCCACAGATATCCAGAGGCAGATTGAGAAAGTTGGGAAGGCCAGGGAAAAACTGGCTGAGGCCCTGGGAGGACACAGGCTTGTCAGGAAGGCAGAGAGGATGAGGAGCCAAGAGGAAAGATCAGAAAACTGGATGGAAATCAGAAGCAGGAACTCACAGGAATCAGAGAGGTGAGGCCTCTGGAGAGAGATTCAGCAGGAAAGATGTTCCAGGTTTCCCTGTGTGCTCTTTAATAGAATCCCACCCTTACCAATGATCTTGCAATACCCAAACTGCTCGTTATTAAACTCTATTCAAGAGAAATTAAAGTAACAAAATATTTTCTACCATATCCTTTACCTTTGCATTTTGTCAGAAAATACACTGATAACTCAGGTAATCATCTCTCAAAGGTTTCATATCCACACAGATAGTATTATCGTTTTAATCCAAATGTGTCTCATGTGGAGATGTTTAGTCAAAAAGTGAACATTTTTAGGGATAAATTTCCTTTATCTGCATATTAGATTTTGCAAATAACAATTTCTGGCCTAAACCCAGAAAAATTACTATTTTTCAAATAATAATTTCTGGAGAAGCATTTCTGATCTTTATACATACCTTCAGTTTACCCATCTCCACCGGAATTAAAGTGTCTGTTTAATAAAAGTAGCCAAGGCACTCTGATCAGAATGGAGCACTTTGTTGAAAAGATAAATTTGATTATCCTTAGGATAAACCATGACTCTTTGGGATAAAATATTATAGACACTTTCCTCCAACATTCTCTGAACCTGCATGGAAAGCCCACTTGGGCAGAGCTTTTCAGCTGCTAGGAAAGTCTGTTTCCAGCTTTTCAGTGCTCAGTGTGCTGATTGAATTCAGTTGTTGAATGGACTAGCTCACCTTGTTATGGTCCTCAGTACGGCTATAGCACTGAGAAAAATACTGCTCAGATTCTCTTAGTTCCTTATCTATAATGACTAGACAGTAGAATAATAGGAATGCTTCATGTTATATGCAATTGTTTGTATAATTTTTAAATTGTTGAAACACAGGTGACTGCAAAAAACTGTGTTAGAACATTTGCACTAGAATCAACTGCAAAATTCAACAGAATTATAAAAAGCAAAACACACACATTTGAAATAATCCAGCATTGTTTCTACTTGTAAGTAGATTCAAGCCAACTCTAGAAGGCACACATGGTTACATTTATGCTACACTAAATATAAAAGGACTACTATGAAATTTCTCACCTCTGCCAATTAGTTTGTCTGCCTCTAGTTTAGAAGGTACATTTAAGATCACATTTTCACAGGCTTCACCAGCCAAACTGAAGACCTAGAATTGAAAAAAAAGATCATATTGATACAATAGATAATGAACAAAAGTCACATGATTGCCTCAATGGACATAGACAAGTAATTGACAAATTCTAATCCCCATTTACAAGGAAGAAGTAAAACTGTCTCTATTCACACACAACATCATCTTTTATGTAAAAAAATCTTATGGAACCCACTAAAAGAACTACCCAAACAAATCACCCTAGGAAAGCTACAGGAAATAAGACGAACACAGAAAAATAGAAGAGTGCATCCCTGTACATTAGCAATAAATAACCTGGATAGAAAATCTAAACAATTCCAAGTAAACAATTCCATTTGCAGTAGTGTCAAGAACAAAATATTTTGGAATAAAGTTAGTCAAAGAAGTACAAGATTATACACTAAAAACTATAAAATACTGGTGAATGAAACTTAAAATGAATGAAATAAATGGAGAGACAGCCTATCTTCGTGGATCAGAAGATATATTCCTTAAACTCGTCTGCAGATTCAGTACAATTCTTATCAAATTTCCACTGCCATTTCTGAAGAACCAACAGTTAATCCTTCTGGAAACGCAAAGGGTTCAAGTAATTTGAGAAAAAACAGAGTCACAGAATGTGTCTTTCCCAATTTTAAAGCATACTACAAAACTACAACACAGAGTAATATTAGTATAAGGATAACTATATTATATAATTGGAATGAAATTAAAATCATAGATGTCAGGAAGCTTAGTTAGCTTCCAAAACATTCAAGAGAAAGAAACCCATTCAACTGGTAACAGGACAAGTAAATAATCTGACATAGAAAAGTTATAAATTCCTAGACAAAACCTAAACAAAAATTAACTCAAAATTGGATCATCCATATAAACATTAGAATTAAATTTAAAAGAAAATGTATTAGTACATCTTCATGATACCAGGCTAGTCAATGATTTCTTCAATTAACACCAAAAAATACAAAGTGATAAAATTTGATAAATAAGACTTAATTAACATTTAATTTTTTTCCTCTACAAACTATAAAGAAATTGAAAACTCACAGGAGAAACTATTTGCAAACCATAAAACAGTGACCCATAACTATAACATATTAAGATATCCTAAACTCAGTAACAAAATTAGGCAAAAGTAGACATTATCCAGAGACGATAGGCAAATGGCCAGTAAGCAGATGGAAAGATATCAAACAACATTAAGACCTTGAGAAATGCGAAGCTAAACCACAGTGAGAAACTGCTCGGAGGGCTAACGAGACAGAAAATAAGTGGCTGAGCAGAATGTGGAAAAACTGGAACCTTCATGTACTGCTGATGGAAATGCAAAGTGACAGCCACTTGGCAAACAGTTCAGTTTCTCTAGGCATTAAACATACACTCAAGATAAGATCCAATATTTCCACACTATCTAAACAAAATGAAAATCTATCTCCACACCGAAAAGTATACCCAACTATAAAGAGCAGCACTACGCACAATAACCAAGAAATGTACACAACCTAGGTGTCTATCACCTGGTGAATGGATTGACAAAACGTAACATATCCGCAAAATGGATTATTCAACTCTAAACCATAAGCCTAGAAAACATGCCCAGTGAAAAAACAAAAAATAAACGCCTGTATTTATTATATGGCTACATTTATATGAGAGGTACCCAAAAGGCAACTACACAGAGGTACGGTAAGTTAGTGGTTGCCTAGAGCTCGTAATAAAATATGAAATGATTGTAAATAGGTATTAAGCTTCTTAAAGCCATGGAAACGGTCTACATCAGGCTGTAGTGATAACTATGCATTTGTGAATTTGCTAAAATTTATTGAACTTTGTCACTTTACATAGGGAAATCTTATGGAATACAAATTATACCTATTTACGTAAAGCTGTTTAGAGAACAAAAGAATATTCACTGATAGAAAAATGATTCTTTCCATATTTGCCTCTACAAATTGGTAGTGAAAAGCTCTTTCAAATTTAGAAATTTACAAAAATAATTTCAGAAAATAAAACAAAGAAGTAATTGAGTTCTAATATAATTGCATGTAAACACTTTTACACAAAAATTAAAAGATTAACTCATGACAGTATTATATTTTTTCACATGTGTGTGCATGTGTGTAAGAGAGAGACATAATCAAAAACTAGGGTCAATGTTTACTTTTTTAATGTATTACGTTAGCATTATTCCCCCTCAAAATATTCTGCTTCACTTCAAACACATTTATCCCCTCACTTCTGCCAGCTCTGAAGCAGCTCCAGAAGTCCTCTCCACAACTGTCTCTATTTGCACTGTTGTGGCTGCTTCAAGGTCCTGGATCCATTCAAAACGTTTCCGGTTACAGGTCATTTTTACTTTGGGAAGTGCCAGAAGTTGCACCATGCCAGAACCGATGTATGAGGTAGATGAGGACCATAATGCTTTACAAGCCTCCCTTTCTACTGAACGGTATTCAGCAGCAGCAATCACCATGTTTTTGATGACAACTTGCAAAGACACTCACAGTACAGGACTTCCAAAATGACTTCAGAAAATGGCCAGAATGATGGAATGTATTCAGAGTGAGGAAGAGCATGCTGACAGAGATTAATGACAATGAGTCTTTCACTGAATACTTTTAAATTTAAATATTCACCACACATACACACACATAATAAAAATTCTTATACTAGGGGCTGGGGATTTTTAGCTCAGCGGCATAAGCGCCTTCCTTGCAAGTGTGCAGTCGTGAGTTCGATCCCTGGTACCGATAAAAACGAAAAAGACAAAAAAAAATTCTTATACTAATGTTTATTTTGGTCATTCACCTATAGTGATGGTCACAGTTATATTCATATTCCTTTGTTTCCTTATAACTGACACCGCACTGAGCAGGCTTGCAGGTGCAAGATGTTAAAATATATATTCCGAAGAAATCAATGTACTATGAGTATGTTTCAGTTTCGTTAACATTGCTAACTGGCTTTCCAAAATACTAATATTAATTTACCCTACTGCCTTTAGAGTATTAAATCTTTCCACATCTTATATACTTGCTTACAATTATATTTTATGAGTTTTAAAATTTTGTCAGTCGGGCTGGGAATTTAGCTCAGCAGTGTAAGTGCCTGCCTGGTAAGCGTGAGGTTGAGAGTCTGATTCCCAGTACCAAAAAGAAAAAAATAAAGAAAACAAATGTTGTCAGTCTAGGTGGGCGTGGTGGCACATGCCTATAATCCCCGCGCTTGGGAGGCTGAAGCAACAGGACTGCCATTAGTTCAAGGTCTGCCTGGGCTACATAGTGAGTTCAAGGCCTTCCAGGAGTACAGAGAAAGACCCTGTCTCGAGAAAACACACAAAGAATTTAAAAATAAAAACAAAAATAAAAATTTTGTCAATCTAATGATTTTATTTTAATATCTAGTGAGATTGAACATGGTGTGCTATTTTCCACTCATCTTCTCTAAATTTGCTATTCATATCCTTTAGTTATCTCTCCACTAATTCTGTCCTTTTTAAATTTAGTTTTCCTTTGACTGAGATTCTTCTCAACCTGTATTTTCTAACTGTTGACAGCCTATAGAAATAATTTCTGAAGGCTGGTCTTACAGTCTGGAAATCTGAGAAATTCTATGGATTGCAGTATGCGTATCTAGAGAGTACTGTATCTGTCATGGCGCCAATCCTTTAGATGGTAAAATGAAAATTACATTTCTTTCCTTTAAGTCTTACACCCCTTTCATTATTGCTATTATATTTTTGATCTTCTGGGTTTGTTTGAATCTCCAATACAATACTGAATATAAACACTTCTAGTGGCCATAATGACACTTTAAAGAGCATGTTCTGACTATTTTACTTTATGACATTCATTCAGTCAGTTCCTTATAGATGAAGGAAGCTCATTTCTTATATTCCTAGTTTGCCAATAACTCTTCAAATACTAAATAAAATGTTTCTACTTACTTTGAAATGACCAGTCTTGGTCTCTTAGTATACTACTCTGTTAAAATATAGCAATAGATTTTCTAACATGAAACCATCTGAACTTCTCTGGGACAAACTTTATGTGGATATGACTGCTTGTTTATTTTATAATACTGGGAACTGCAACTAGGGCTTTGCCACGTGCTCAATTCCAGAACTTTTTATTTTTTTTTTTATTTTGAGACAGTCATTTAATTGCCCAGATTAGGTTTGAACTTGTGATCCTCCTGCCTCAGCCTCCCAAAGTGTTGGGATTATAAGAGTGGCCACCGTGTCCAGCTGACAGGATGGTTTTTTAAATATACTATTGATTTGATGTGCTCCTGTCTCCTTAGTATTTCATATACATGATTCTCACAGATGAAATTAATATATTCTCTTAAAATTTATGCGATCTTCGCAAAGTTGAGGAAAGTTCCACTCTTCCAGTTCTCTGAAACAATCCATACAAGACAGAGATCACCTGTTTTATGTAATTATGGAATAATTCATTTACTATAGATAGTTGTGAAGGATGGATGTGAAGGAAAAGGTACATGGAGATATTTGACTTTTAATTCAATCTCTTTAATGGCTATAAATCTATTTAGATTTTTAATATTTCAAATTAACTGTAATAACCTATTAAATCATCCTGTATGTGTCTTCCCCGTCACCATGGTGCCTTATTTTTATTCTAACCCTGTCTTATCTATATAACAGGTTTTGGTTTACTTGATTCCCTCTACTGCTTGTTTCTTTTTTAAAATGTCCTTCAAAAGACCACTGTAAATGCGATACATTACCTATAGCACGTGTTTTAATGTATTGTAATAAAACAGGCTCACTCTCAGGTGAGAAAACCCAGAACATTCCTGTTGAAGTCCTACACATTGAAGCCCTGCTTTCCATTTCTATTTTCTTCCTTCTCTAAACTCCCAAATCCTAGATAACCACTAATGGCTGATTTTTGTCTTATGCATTTTGTTCCCCTGCTTCTGCTTATATTTATCCCATGTATCTGTTTACCCAAAGAAAACAATTATATTTTGCCAAATTTTATCTTTTAAATCCATAGCCATGCTATTTGCATGTAACTTGCTTACTTTGCTTAAGATAATATCTGTCAAATACTCATAATGAATAGATATAATTTATTTACTGTGTTGCTCCACAGTATATCATGGGAAAGAACATGTAGTGAAATGATTAGCATAATTTGAGTTATCTGATGCTTCTCGAAACTAAAGTGTTCTTCTGAAAATTAGAAATTAGATACTATATTTTGTGTAGGTTGTATAAATTATTGAAAATAAAATGCAAAGGCACAATTGTATTCACAAAACAAACTAATATCTTTGAAGACATCTTAAAAATCACTTCTTGCCAGGCATGATGCTGCACCCCTGTAATTCCAGCACTCAGGAGGCTGAGGCAAGAAGATCCTTGCTGGTTCAAGGCCAGTATGGGCTACAGAGTTCAACACCAGTCTGAACTGCACAGTGAGATCCTGTCCCAAAAAGACAAATAAATACATAATAAATAGGTTCTTTATAGAAGCCTGCCACATAAAAAATGCAACATACAAGAAACTTGATTTTCAATTTGAGTTATAAATGGACCCTGGTTAGTGTGGTACCCAGTTATAATTCCAGCTACTCAGGAGGCTGAGGCAAGAGGATCACAAGTTTGAGACCAGCCTGAGTAACATATTGAGAACATGACTCAAAATAAAATTTTTAAAAGGGCCTACCATGCTCTAGGACTTGGATTCAATCCCCAGCATGAAGAAGAAGAAGAGGAAGAAGAAGAAAAAGAGGAAGAAGAAGAAGAAGAAGAAGAAGAAGAAGAAGAAGAAGAAGAAGAAGAAGAAGAAGAAGAAGAGAGAAAGAAGAAGAAGAACAGGAAGAAGAAGAAAAAGAGGAGGAAGAGGAGGAAAGATGAAGAAGAAGAGAAGAAGAAGAACGCTTGCTTACTCAGTTCTTTCTGAATCTAGCTATATCTCAGTGTGAACATCAACAACCTTCTTTTTAAAAAGTTACAATGCCTGAATCTAATTAGGTACCAAAACTTATTTTCTTGTGGTTTTGGATTTACAGCAAACCATTTCTCAGTTCCTTATTTTCTTTGTTTTAATCTAAGTTTCATGAACACAAAAGTTAATATAAATAGCTACAGTCTCTTGTGCTCAAAAAAAATTACTGTCAAATGTTACCAAGAACCAAAAAAGGGAAAACAAGTGGGGGGAGCAGTCACCTTCTCATTAATTAAGGTTATAAAAGATGAAAAGATGACATGTACACACTTGTCAACTTCGTTAGAGGTAAGAGTTTATACGCTCCAAGGGGCAAAAGTACAGAATGCAAGAGGGGAAGCTGGCAAATGCTTCTGCTTTAGTTGCTTTGGAAGGAACGCTTTCTTAGCACCCGATGACTGTGTTCCAGCAGCTACACACAGTCCCCAATGTGGGTACGAGAACAGGGCTAATTGCATATTTCACAGACTCTCATTTGTAACATGCAAAAGGAAACTGATCAATGCAAATTACTTTCACTACCTCCTAGTAATTTTCACATTAAAGGGAAAAAAACCTGAAACATACTTAAAACCTTTCAACAATCGTCAAGTGGTCTGATGGGTTTCTTTCCAGGTTTCTTTTCTTTGTGTGTTTAGCAGAAAATGTATGTGGCAGCAGTTCGGGGTCTAGCTGAGTCAAAGACAATGGAAAGAAGTAGGAAAAGTGCAAAGTGGGGCGATTCCCACCCACCCCCAGCTCAGGGAGAGTCACAAGTTAGCATTAAAGACCTGCTTAGAAAAGCTCTCTCCTTAGAAGGAGCAGTTACTCTGGAAAAGATCCAATGTGCTCTACAAAATGAAGTGTTTCTACCACTCCACGTCATTCATACACTGAAGAGTTGACATCTGTGTGAGTCACGCAGACAGACCTGAGAGAATCAAAAGAGATCTTTACTTACCCACCCAGCCTGAAATTCAAAGGGTATGTAAACTGGGGGTTACAGATGAAAGAAATTACCATTCTTGGTGCATTCCCCAGCAGTCTACTCTCCACTGATAGTATTTCATCTAAATGCTATGAAATTCTTGAAAAGAATTCTCCCAGGGGAATGTAGCAGACTGAGCAGCAGTGTTCCCCTTCCAGATCTAAGCAGATCTCACCTTGACCAACTGCACCGCACCCCGACTCTCAGGCAGGGCTCCTCAGGATCTGCAGCCTGCCCTCCCCTCCAGCAAATGCTAGAAATCTGGGGAACACGACACCAGAAATGTCTTTTTTCCCATCCCCTCGTCTTTTCTGCAGGATACATCAAACTCCAAATCCTTATTTCTACATAGAAGGGTGGAAATGTTTTCCACCAAACCATAGAACATACTTGGGGCACAGTTTCCACTTCTCCAGAGTCATTTCATCAACTCAGATATTTCTCTGGGACAAATTCTTGTCCATAAATATATTTTAGACCATACTTGCTACCTAAATATTCCTAAGTGCTGATTTAAAGGCAGCATGAAGCCTGGCCCTCCTTGGGTTCAAGGGAATCCCAAGAGCCGGATTAGACAAAGTGGCCTAAATGGACCCCAGGGCCATTTCTGGAGATCAAGTAGGGGTCCTTCCTACTAGGTCCCCAGGCTAACACCGGATTGGGTCCTAAGCTTCGCGGTACTGTGCTGTCAGAATTTCCAATTTTCTGGTTCAAATCCCCTGGCTTCTCAGGTCACTGTACCTGATGTCCACTCCAGGCCCACCCCTTGCTCAGCCTCAGGATTTCCGGCACAGGCTCTGTGCTCTCACAGTATTCTCCAGAGTCGGAGGAAATGGGATCCAAAAGCATCCTGACCTGTGCGGCCCACTCAGCTCTGTTCCCCGGATCACCCTCTGGTTCCTGGGCCCACGCCACAGCCCACTGGGCGCAGAGTATTGGTTCCACTAGGATCCTGGATCCCTTAAGGAACTACAGCCAGGAAACCCGTTTCTCAGAGGCGTCTCCACGCGGGCCCCCAGGGCCACAGCTCCGACCTCGCCACCCACTCACGGCCCCATCCAAGGTCAAGGGAGGCTCGCTTGAGCCCCGACTCAAGTCCGTGTTTTCATCCTCCAGGATGCTGATGACTGAGCCTAAGTAACTGAACATTCTTCTTTATTCGCCACCCAAAGACCACCCAGTACCCATCGCAAGCCCAGCCCCGGGGCCATGGAAGGGCAGCTCCGGCCAAAGCGCAGCAAAGCCGAGCTCGACGCTTAATCCAAACAACTGCGTGCAGGGTCCCCAAACTAAACGACGGGGCTCGCGAGGTCCTTGAAGGTCTGGCTCGCTCTGCGCCCCCTCCCTCCTTCCCCCGACGCCCTTGGGCCCCGGACCCGCCCGCAGGATCGAGCCCAAGCGCGAGGGTCACTTTTCGGCCCGCCGGGCCCCCCACCGCTGCCGCTGCATCCACCCCGCGCCGTGCCCGCTCCCAGGCCGGCGGGCTCACCAGGAGGCTCAGCAGCAGCCGCGCGCAGCGGGCTCCGAGCTGCGGGCTGGGGGGCGCGGCGTCGGCCATCGGGGCGCGGGGCGCGGGGCGCGGGGCGCGGGCTCAGAGGTGCACGTCTCCTCTGGGCTCCGGTCTTCTGTGCGCTTCTCCTCTCGCCGCTGCTCGCCCCGAAGTCGCTTTGGCCTCTGTCGGGCTCGTCTGCCCAGGAGCGTGTTCTTTCTTGAAACCGGATTGGACTCCGGAGACGCCGAGCAGCCCCTCCTAGTTATTTCCTAAGTTTTACCACCGCTGGAGGAGCCCGGGAGCTGCCCGAGCCTGCCCCTGCGCTCCCCGCGGCCGCCGGGAAGCTCGCGCTGCGCTCTGCAGAGCGGTCCCGGGCGCGCCCTGCGCCGCGCCCACGCCCCTCGCCCGTCCCGCCGGATGCCCGCCCGGGGCGCCCCGGCCGCTGACGCTGTGCAGCGCGTTCCCACTGCAAACCCGGAGCCGTCTGCCCCAGCTCGGGCCTTCTGGGTGCCAGGAACACCCTTGGGATCGAATCAGCGGATCCTCCCTGCAGCGCCTGAACCAATTCTAGGCAGTGTCTTCAGGTTGAAACAAAACGCATGTTTTCAGAGCAATGTGATTAAACCACGGAAGGAAAATTAGTCCGGACAGCATAAATTAACTGGCGTTTGCTGTGCCAGAAATTAAAAAAGAGCAAAACAAATGCTAATTTGACCGTTTTTCTATCCAAAAAGGGGAATGATTGTACTAAGAGTTTAAATTGCCAACTTTTCTGATTTTATATGAGCCTCCTAAGAGTTTGTTCTTACGTTTTGATCAATTATTTATGTGGTAATTGTAGTAAGATGAAACTTTTCAGTTTGTGGTTAAAGGAAAATCTACTGCACAAAATCATCTACTCTACAAACCAGGCAAACAAATTCAATGTCTTTCAACATTTATCAGGTTCCAAAGTCTATCAAATATTACTCAAGGGTTGGAGGAAAGGAAATGCTCACCTACCTCCGTCCCTCCTCACCACACATAAAAAGATAGAATTGTTTTCCTGCCCTGAGAGAGAAGAAAAGCTATTATCATAGTCCACTGCAGACATTCATAACAGGGCATATTCCCCTACTTCTCTCTAAACTGGATTTTATTTTTCCAAGTTTCCAAAGGCTGGATTCAGGAAGAAACTCTCTGAAATGTGTTATTACTCCTCAAAATCCTTCAAAGCAGCGCCTGAACGAATGTGACCCTTTAGGTCACATTGCTTGTCTAAGCAGAAAGCTGGAGCTTCCCTGGAATTCCTGAGCCTCAGATCTCAGGACTCACACAGAAGTTCAATTCCCTAGTCTCCTCTGAGGCCTCAGAGTCTGTGTAGAAAGCTCCACAGTTGTCTAGGCTTTGTTTTCCTTTGTCTGGTGCCCGGAAACCTTTGGCCTTGTTCATGGCCCCAGGAAAAATGTCTCACAGTCTCCTCCAAGCGTGGCCAGTCTTTGGAAACGCCAGTGGAATTGGTGTTCTGAAGAAGATGCCAATTTCAGTCTCCCTCCCTGCACCGCTGTGGATTCACTGCTAGCATGAAAGGTTGAAGAATTAAGGTGGAAATCGGGCTGCAAAAAAGATGCTTGAGATAAGAGCAGAGTTTAACAGGGAAAGTGCAGGAGAATGTTCCAGGTGACAGCAGCATCAACAGGACAGGAGGAGCTCAGGGGAGACAGCTTCTAGGGTCTAGGAGGCAGAAAGGAGTTGTTCCTTTAGAATGCCTGTGGCTGGGAATGAAGCTCGAAAGACAGGATCATGATGAATCCTGCCTGGAGGGTTGGATTTCATCCTGGAAGAAGTGAAGAACAATTCGTTCTGTGTGGAAAAAAAAGGGGGGGGGGTTACTAACCTGGGCACTGTGGCACACTCTGAGAGGCTGAGGCAGAAGGATTACATAATGATTTAGCAGACCCTACCTCAAAATAATGTTTAAAAAGATAGATCTGGAATTACAGCTAGATGGGAGTGTCCTAGATTCAATACCTAGTACCATAGGAAGGGAAAAAATGGCTATTAAATATTCTTACAGAATTATCACCTTTGGAGAGTTCATAATGAATCTGTTTATCCCTTGAGATGACTTAATGCCTATTGGACACAGAGAGAGAGACAGAGAGACAGAGAGACAGAGAGAGACAGAGACAGAGACAGAAGAGAGACTTTATTCTATGATCATGGGTTGTCTGTGATTTCACCTTTTATCTTCAGATTTTGATCTGATTATAACTATCTTTCAAGTACTGAAAACTATAGAACCACTATTTGGTTCGGCTGTATTGTACGGAGGAGGATATTGTTAAGTCTACTAACTAAAAACTGCTTTAAACTTCCACTTTCATTCTCTACAAAAGAAAAGTTGTAATAATCTACTCCAGAAATGCTGTAATACATTCAATTTATATGGCAAAATTATAGGTGTAATATAAACACTAAATAATAACTGAGGGATTTAGCCCAGTGGTATAAGTGCCTGCCTTGTAACCACGAGGTCGTGAGCTCAATCCCTGGTACCAAATAATAATAATAATAACTAGATGTAATATTCATAACTGTATTGGAAATTCCTGTTTTAGTATAGCATAAGTATATTGGTCTAAGTCCTAAAATAAAATATGTTTACAATTTTTAAAAAAATCTTTGAAGATAGTTATAATGACAACAGAGATGACTTGAAAATAAATTTCTTATGTGAATTATACTTTAAAATGATATTGTTGAAAATCTATTTAAAATAGGAGTTTGCCTATAGTGACAACTCTGTGCAAAATTAATTTTTAAATCACCATGAGATATCATAAAGGATAAAAAGCTTTTCTGACTTGTATTTATTTTACTATCCTATCACTTAGGCTGTAAAGTCAGTTCAAAGTCCATACTAAAAGAATAATGGACCAAAATACAGAAAGAGAAGTATAGTTTTCTTTGTGACACTCCTACTTTGAAAGCAGCAAAATGAATCAAAAATAGAGATTTTAGATGACTGTGCAAAGCTTAAGGAATCTTGGTGGATTGCTTAACATTTTCAGCAAAAAGCAAACTTCACAAAATTAAGGAGGGTCGTCGAGGAGTTTCTGACCATGGAGCAGGTAACTTGTGTTTGGAGTTGAGAACTGAGCTCTGGCCACAAAGCCATGCAACTCAGTCCCAATAGTTGGCACACATCCACTGACCTTAGTGGCTTACATGGTCATGATGTGACAAGCATGGCTCACCTCAAACACTTTTGGAAAGATTGACTGTGGGACAACCTTATGATGTCTAAAACAAATTTTCCAGGAAAAAAATAGCAAACTATACCAAAAACAACCCACTAACTTTACATGGAAACCAATTACGAGATGGGTTTGAATAGTGCTTGTGACACAAAACAAACTTAATCTTGGAATGTTGGCTCACAAGCGTTTTGGGAGTATTATTTAGAATAAGATGTCACAGTATGACTAGATGCCTCCCATTAAATTGCCACAGCTCCACTGAGAACAACCTCAACTATAATCATTCCAAAAAACTGCTGGAGCATTGGAAAACTGGAATGCTTAAGTCAAGAGCAACCTGTAAATATTGTACTGCTGTCAGTACAAGAACCTCTGTAGAGTTGCTCTCTGCCTCCTTCCTCTCCAATCTTTGCTCTACAAGCACCCTCTCCCCAGCTCTAACTCCGCCCCCATGAAACTCTTCTGGTAGCAAAGACAGCCTCTATTCTAGATCAAAGTGATCCCTGACCTCCAGTGAACAGATTCTCCTTCCCCCTTATTACGGGGCAGGTCTCTTCACATCCTCTAGGATCAGCTTCGCTCCAGAATGATTGACAGCAGGACTATTCTCATCTACAGGAAGCACTTCTACCTACAGAGGAGTGGCTTCTCATCACAGCTTTGGCAACAACCATACAGATGTCTGACAATTGCACATTTCTCTAATTCACGATTAGTGAGCAGGTTTCCGTCATGTAGTGATTATCATATCGGCCTCACACCATCATCAAGCCTAGGTGACAGCATGACAGTGAATCCAATCCAGGTAAGGCACACCAAGCTCAGGAAGGTGCCTGTTTGTTTCCTTTTATTAATGAATGAGTCAAGAACTCTTACAATGGCTTTCCTCTTCCTCCACTGAAGTCTTGGACTCCCTTAGGAACATGCTCTTCTGTGAATACTCCTTTTATGGAGGGAGGAACAGTGTTCCAGTGACTCCTTACTGGGCTGGAAGGAATGGTAACATTCACACAGACAACAAAACCCCATTGTGTGAGAGATAACTTCTCACAAAAACTGAGCAAAAGTGGTGAAACAAAGTCTTGATACAGAGGGAGTCTTTATTTCCACTCATTTGAAATCATCTCTTAATTCTTCACTTAGGTTTCCTTCAGAAAGAAAATGTTTCTCCTTCCTGGGTGAAGCTCTATTTTCCTCAGACTTTCTCATGTCCTTAGGAGCTCTTAGTTTCTGTCTGTCTGTCTGTCTGTCTGTCTGTCTGTCTGTCTATACAAAGGATGTTGCTTAACCATGAAGGTTACAGGTGTGAGTGGGCTGCCAGCCTGATCGCATGTGTCATTTATGAGGGCGTCAACCCCTGATTCACTGCCTCATCAGCCTTCTCTTTTCCCAGAAGTTTAGGAGGGCCATCCCTCAAGAGCACACTGGGAAAGGAGTACATTCTATAGGTCAGATGCCTGTCATCTACGCACAAGTAGAGAAGGAGCTCTTCCCACCAGCTCCCTATGAGTAAGACATTTGCTAACTTTGCATCCATTCATCCATCCATCCATTCATTCATTCCAGTTTTTCTCAGTAACAATTATAAGTTTTATTTGCCTCAAGATTCACTAATGTCTGTCTTCCTTTTTTCATCCTACTCAGTCTCCCAAGCCTTTGTGTCACTAGATGCAAAGTAGCTTTCCTTTCCACTAATTAGCTACTTAGTGTTCACTGAGCAAATCCAGTGCCACAATAATTAGCCCTTTTCATGGGTTGTTTTCTGTCTTATATAAGCTATACTCCACCTTCACAGATAAGCATAGTCTTACCTTGCAAACATCTGTGTCAGATTAAAACAGATTCGTATTTCCCTAAATAACCCTAACTCAGAGATCTTACTCAAATGTTAAAATAACTGAAGAGATAATAATCTACCTAGTGGGTGTGCAGATATATGCCAGAAAGACTATAATCGTTTTCTTTCTAAGTCAGATTTCAGTGTTCTTGACATATTCAGTAACAGGCTATTTCTCCCAGTTGCCAAGTCTTGTTTAGATCCTGGGTCAGGAAAAGTCCTGGAAGTTACTATAATTTTTCAGTTTTAAAATGAAACTTTCTACACTGGTCTGGTGTCCCAGGTACTTGGGAAGCTGAGGCAGGAGGAATGTGAGTCCAAGGCCAGTCTGAGTTACATAGTAAGTCGAAGTTCCACATGGATTACATGAAGAGACCCTCTCTCAAAAGCACAAAATAATAACAGCATTAAATAAAAAATTAAAAATGCGGTAGTG